AAGAACATGGTGGAGAATGAAAGTGGCTGCATTATAAAAGCAATTAGAGCAGATAAAGAAACTGAGTATAGCTGTGAGCAGTTTGACCGTTTCTGCAATTCTGAAGGAATCAAGCACCAACTCACCATTCCCTATTCTCCTCAACAAAATGGAATGTGTGAGAGGAAAAACAGGACTGTGATGGAGATGGCCAGGTGTATGTTGATTGAGAAGAAGGTTCCAAAAGAGTTCTAGGCTGAAGTAGTCAATACAGCTGTTTATCTCCTCAATCGATTGCCAACAAAAGCATTGGAGAAGAAGACTCCATATGAAGCCTGGAATGAGGTCAAACCAGATATCTCACATTTAAAAGTGTTTGGGAGTGTTTGTTACACTCATATCCCTGATACAAAAAAGGGATAAATTAAGTGAAAATGCTGAAGTTGGAATATTAGTTGGATATTGTACCAATGCCAAGGGATACATGGTATATAACCCTCAGTTAAAAAAGGTGATCTCCAGTAGAGATATTAAAGTGGATGAAGAAGCTACATGGAATTGGGAGGCAAGTTCAGTTAAAAAAGTAAAAACAAGTGGCTCGATTCCTCAAAACAGAGAGGGAGGAATCAGTAAAGATGAAGAAAAACCTGACGATGGCTTAGATTCAGAAAATGAAAGAGTAAAGATGAGGCCATTAGTAGACATATATGCTAGGTGTAATGTTGCCATAGTTGAACCTACAAACTTTTTTGAAGCATCAAATTCACCTGATTGGATGGCTGTAATGGAGGAAGGATCAAAATGGTTGAGAAGAATGAGACTTGAGAATTAGCTGATAGACCGTTGGACAAACAAATAATTGGAGTAAAATAGGTGTATAGAACTAAGCTAAATCCTGATGGCTCAGTCAATAAGCTAAAAGCCAGATTAGTTGTTAATGGAAATGCTCAGCAGTTTGGTGTTGATTTCACTGATACATTTGCTCATGTGGCTAGATATGAGACTATGAGATTACTGATGGCAATTGCAGCTTAAAGAGGTTGGAAATTTTATTAATTAGATGTCAAGTCAGCCTTCCTAAATGGATACTTGAATGAGGAGATCTTCATTGAGCAGCCCGAAGACTTTATGGTAGAAGAAAATGAAGATAAAGTGTACCTACTAAGGAAAGCCTTGTATGGTTTAAAGCAGGCTCCAAGAACCAGGTATAGCAGAATTGATGATCATCTTGGTTATCTTGACTTTACAAGAAGTTGAAATGAACAAACCTTATATGTGAAACAAGAGGAAGGAGAAATGGTCGTCATTTCACTATATGTTGATGATCTTTTGATCACAGGCAGTAGCTACAAATTAATTGGAAGGGTGATCGAGGAATTGAAGATGGCATTTGAAATAACCGATTTGGGTGGAATGCATTATTTCCTTGGGATGCATATTTATCAAACTCAACATGGAATCTTTATCAGCCAAAAAAAGTTTGCAAAGGAAGTGCTAAGGAGGTATAATATGGAAAATTGCAAACCTGTTAACACACAACTAATCCAGAATACAAAATTGATGAAAGAAGATGGTGTAAAACAGGTTGATGCAAAAATTTATAGGAGGTTGATTGGTTGTTTGTTATATTTAACAGCAACAAGACCAGATGTTACATTTGCTGCAAATCTTCTATCAAGATTTAGACAAGAGCATAGTGAATTACACTTTCAAGCAGCCAAACGAGTTCTGAGATATATCAAAGGAACTGAAGAGATGGGGATCTGGTTTGAGAAGTCTGAATCATGGAAATTAATTGGTTTCACAGACAGTGATTGGGCGGGGTGTCGTAAAGATATGAAGAGCACTTCTGGTTACATATTTTATGCTGGTTCAAGTATCATCTACCGGAATTCAATGAAACAGAAAATGGTGGCCCAATCAACAGCTGAAGATGAATACATAGCTGCATTAGAAGCTACTAATCCAGCAATTTAGCTAAGGAAGGTGTTAGAAGATTTGAAGTTCAAGCAGAATGAGGCAACAGTCATCTATTGTGATAATCAATCGGCCGTTGCAATGGTGAAGAATCCAGTATTCCATGGTAGAACCAAACACGTCAAGATCAAATACCATTCGATTAGAGAAGCTCAAGAAGGAAAGGAAGTGAAGCTGGTGCATTGCAAATCAGAGGATCAACTTGCTGACATATTAACCAAGTCTTTAGCCAAAGCAAGGTCTGAAACACTAAGAAACAATATTGGTGTTTCCAGCAAAAGCGCCAAGGAGGAGTGTTGAGAAATGGTTGCCACTTTAGTTGTCACAAGGTTGCTTATTTTTGTATCCATAATCATGTAATTTAAGGACAATGGTTGGTAGTATAAATTTTGTAATACTTTACAATTATGGCCTTGTGTATAGTTGTCAACTAGCTAGCTTGTAGTAGGTAAGGAGTTGTTGACAAGCATGTATTTTTGTGAAAATATATATTCAGAAATGTAATGAATCATTGTTTAAGCTTTCATTCTCCTTGAACCAACAATACTTCAATGCCACATATTTTTTTTCCAAGCATAGATAAAAGACCGATGCTGGGATGG